GGACGTGCAAATATAATGATGTGCTGTAACCTTTGTAGTTTGGGATAATTCATTGGAGAATCAAGACAATGAGAATGAAGAATTAATGGGGTTGGAGATTTACCTCAGTGGTGCCCACCTGCCTTGAAAGTGCAAGGTCCTGAGTTCGATCCCCCAGTACTAGGAAAAAAAAATTAATCTCAGTAGTTGATAAGGCCAAATGCAGTCAGTACCAGATACGTAGTGACATTTAGTAAATACCTGATCGGATGAGTGAATACATGAGCTGAAATAAGTTTTCCCTCCTTTAAAAGAAAAAAAGAAGGAATGAGTAAATACATGAGCAATTCTTTTATCTTATTAAAGCAGGAACAGCCCTGTGTGGTGGCACACACCTATAATCCCAGCACTCCCAGAGGCTGAGACAGGAGGATCTCCACAAGTTCAAAGCCTGGGCTACATAGTGAGTTCTAGGACAGCCTGAACTGCCTAGCAAGAAACTGTCTCAAAAAAAAAAAAAAAAAAAAAAAAAAAAAAAAAAAAAAATTGAACAGCAGTTCCCAAGTTCCCCCCAAATGGTAGGTACCAGTTCCTTCAGTTCCAAGGACTGAAGAAGACATTTATAAGCCATTTATCTTTTACATTGACGTGTTAACCTAACATTTTATGTACAGAAAATAGAGTTTAACCAGAAGGGTTGTAGATGATTGTAGTTTTAAAAGCTAAGGGCTGGAGATTTAGTTCAGTGGTTCTGCCACCTGCCTTGCAAGTGCAAGGTCCCAAGTTCGATCCCTGGTACCAAAAAATAAAATAATAAAAGCTAAAGGAGATCCTTTTGTTCATTTGGGAATCTTTATGAGTATGTATGTATGTATTTATTTTTACCAAATAAACAGAATGCTTAAAATAGTTGAAGTGCTGCATTTCCTGTAGTATATACTACTGTTACAGAATGTTCTTTAGACTGGTTCTTTCTTTTTTTTTTTTTTTGCTTCTTAGACCTTTTTAAAAAAATTGTGCTAAAAAAAGAACATAATCCCATGAACTCTTCACTAGAAAAATGCTCACTGAAACAAAATTATATATATGTTTTAATAATTTTGATTTTGATTTATCCATGGACCTTCTGTTGTTTTCAGATTAAGGATTGCTATTTGTAGAAAGTATAGGATGATAAAATGGAAAATAAATAGTACTGGATGAAAGTGGGGGAAATTCTTAGTAAAGGATCCAACGAAAGAGAAACACTTGAGAAATGTGGTCTAGTGTACCTTGTCTTCTTTTAAAATTAATTAATTTTTGAGATAGGATCTTGCTTTGTTGTCCAGACTGGTCTCAAACTTGGAATACAGGTATGTGCCACAGTGCCCTGTAGCCTTGACGCTTTTAAAATGAAAATAAACAAATTAGTAACCAGTATATCAAAATAGTTGAAAAATGTGTTTCATTTTTCGGATTGCAGCCATATCCATGGTGAAAATGGTCAGGAGGGTGGCTGGAATGTGACGAGGGCTATAGACTTGTATTGGACAAGGGCCATATAATATCTCCAGCTTTACATCCAATAATGTACAACTAGCGGGACCTAAAAGGAAGACTGAAACAAGAGGTATGAACTAAGTTTGGGCAGTTCTGTTTTGGAGCCCTTGTATCTTATCAGAAAGGTAGTTGTTGAATCGTAAGCTTAAGAGACTGAGTGGCTGTTCTGTTGTGACAGAAAGCTCGTACTTGGAGATTTATCTTAAATTCCTATTAAATAGCATATAATTGTGATTGAGAATCTAGTGTCTAGAGCTGGGTCCTCTAGGTTTTAATCGTGACTGAGCAAGTTATTTAACTTGTCTGGATTTTCTGAAGAGTCTTTTTCCAGTGAAGACAATCCCTGACCTTTGCTTTGTGAAGATGGGCTTTAATTGTCTCTCTGCAAAATGAAATGGAAGAGTGGGTGTTGGTGGTATAGTGGTGAGCATAGCTGCCTTCCAAAATGAAATGGAAGGAGCCAGGTGTGGTGGCACACACCTGTAATCCCAGCACTCGGGAGACTGAGGCAGGAGGATACCTGTGAGTTCGAGACCAGCCTGGACGACTACATAGTGGGTTCCAGGTCAATCTCAACTACATAGTGAGATCCTGTCTCAAAAAAAAAAAGGAGTACTAGAATCAGTACTTTTTTTTAAATAAACTTTTTCCCTTCTGGAAAATCTGATATGTGAAAATCTGATATGGAATCTTAATGGCTAATCCGATTGAAATGGGGCCTGTATGTGTTTTTGGTTGTAGACAACAGAAATTTTCTGCCTAAGCCAGCTCAAGCAGAAAAGGGGAACTTGATGTAAAGATGGGTGTTTCATACTGTTCAAGCACAAACTTTAAAATGACTATAGCCCAGAAGAAGGAAAGCCTTTTGTTTTGCTCTTTTATTTGTATTTTCTGTTTGGGGCTTTTTTTTTTTTAGATAGGTTCCCACTATGTAGTTCAGACTGGCCTGCACTCACTATATAGCCCGTGCTGGCCTTGAACTTGTGGTGATTTTCCTGCCTCAGCCTCCTGTAGATGTGTGCCATCATGACAAGCTCCTTTGTTTTTGTTTTTTTTTCAGTCTGATTCATACTTCATACTCCCTCCAAACAACTGCTGCTTCTCTGTTTTTTATGGTGGAGAAGTTTCCCTTTTCAGCTGCATCATTGAAGAGAGTGAATCTTTTTCACTCTTGTTCTGAACTCCAGAGGAGAGTACCAGGGCCTGGATTGGGCAGGTTTCCACTCTGATACAGTTTGTGAAAGACCTGGGTGGGTAGGGGTGTAGTTCACCTTGCATTAAATGTCTGTGGAAGCCCCTGTCCTAAGTGTGCAAGAAGGTGAGGAAGGAGATCTTTTGAGGTGAGAAGAGCCTGAAAAAGAACTGTGCTCCCCTTTACTTCCCTGAGGTGGCCCTGGAATCTCACAGAGTTCAGGCATCCTTTAAAACAAGATTTGAAATCCCCTCAATTTTATATACAGTAGTCTCCTTTAGCTTTGAAACAACCTGATTATACAGTAAAGCCTTAATTATCTGAATCCAGAATTACCTTATTTATTCAATTTGTTTTCCTCTAGTGAGAACATGCTCGTTGTTGAACCCTTGGGTGAAAAAGAAAATTTTAAACACTAAAAAAATAATTGCTCCTAACTCTACCAAGCATTTTTGTTAATGATGTTTTTTTGGGAGGTACCAGGGATCAAACTAAGGTCCTTGCATTTGCAAGGCAGGTGGCAGAACCACTGAGCTAAATCCCCAGCCCTGTTAATGCTTTTTTAAAAAATGTACCACCACCTCCAGCTACCATTTTTCCCCTCTTTATACAATTTTGTATTCCTCAAGGGTTAATTTGGTTTTAGGAAGAAAAATCATCTCAAATAAATTGAAGCAAAGGGAAATCATGAGTACTTCAGTCATTCTTGGAACCCAAGTGCAGGAAGCAAGGATGAGCCTCTTGGGATTTTGAACCCTAGGCTTTGCCTTCGTCCCTGGAGCTGTGTGGTCTTTTGTCTGTTCTTCTCGGTATGTCTGTTCTAGTCTCTGTGTTGAGACCAGTTTCCTCTGCAGGAGTCTGTTTCCATTGCCCCATAAATAATGCTTAATTTTGGATGATAGTAGTACTAATTTTCAGCCAAACTTTACTCTTCTGGAACTGGGCTGAAACGTAATGCAAATAGTGGAATATCTGATTGGCTCTGCAGAGGTCAGGGCCTTTTGTTCAGTTAGCTGGAGTCAGGATATCAATAACTGTAGTGGCACCTAGGCTTACCTGTGCAGTAAGATGAGGAGCTATTTTGAAAGCACAGGCTGGGCTGCAGTCACCCAAACTCGTACTATAAGATAAACATGGTGGTGTACACCTGTAATCTCAGCATTAAGGAGGCTGAGCCACGAGGATTACTGCAAGTTCTAGACCTGCCTGGGCTACATAGTGTGTTCAGGGTCAGTGTCTGAACTACATAGTGAGGCCCTGTCTCCCCGCAGAAAAAAGTTTCTTTTCTTTTTTTTTTTTTTTTGGTACCAGGGATTGAACTCAGGTCCTTGTGCTTGCAAGGCAGGCTACCGAACCGCTGAGCTAAATTCCCGGCCCAAAAGTTTCTTGATAAGCAGTTTTCCAGATCATTAAAGATTCTTCACAGATATGATTTTAGTATTTAATTATTATTTATGTAATATAAGTGGGTTATTTTGTGCTTATATATACACGTTGGAGAAGTTCTCTGTATCTTTTGTTTTTGTTTTTGTTTTTTTCTTTTGAGACAGTGTCTCACTGTGTAGCTGCGACTGACCTGGAACTCACTATGTAGTCCACACTGGTCTCCAACTCACAGCGATCCTCCTGCCTCAGCCTCCTGAGTGCTGGGATTACAGGTGTGTGCCACCACACCTGGCTAGTTTTCTGTATCTTTGAGGGTCTTTATATCATAAGAACTCACAGCGCTTCATACCAGTAGTAGGTTGATGTTTCCATAACTTGAGACAGCTGCCTGAACCACTCTAGACCTTTAATAAGAATTAAGATACCATTATGGGGGAGCCGACAATTTGGCTCAGTGGTGCTGCCGCCACCTGCCTTCATAAGGGCAAGGTTCCGGGTTCTGAGTTTAATCTCCAGTACCAAAAACAAACAAGAAACCATTGTGGCTTTCTGTCTCTTGAAGGTTATGACCTTGCAGCTTCTTGGACAGAATTTTAATCTAGTGAAGAGAGTATAAGCTGTGGGGTTTTGAACATTTTCTATTTTTCTGATTACTGGCTAGTTTTCTTCAACTGATTCTCATTTTCTTTAACCATACAATGAGAAAATAGCCAGGTGTGGTGGCACATGCCTGTAATTCCAGCATTTGGGAGGCTGAGGCAGGAGGATTACCACAAGTTCAAGACCAGCCTGAGCTATAGAGCAGGTCTGAAATCCCCCACAAAAGAATGATAAAATATCCTGAGTGTTCTTGGATAATTAATGCATATAAGAACTAATGTCAATTCTTTAATATATGCCCAATATGTCGGTCTGTTTTATAGTTACACTGAATGACTAATATGGAACTATTCTTGGCTTTTTACCCTCTCCCATTATTATGCTTTAAAATAATTTTAAAAAATAAAAAAATATATATTTTTGGTGATACTAGAGATGAAACTCAGGGCCTCTTGCACTGAGCTACATCCATAGACCTTTTTTAATTTTTTTTATTTTGCGACAGGGTCTCATTGAGTTACTGCGTTGCCCAAACTGAGCTTGAATTTGTGATCATCCTGCCTTACCCTCCCAGAGTGCTCAGGTTGCAGTCATGTGCCACCAGGCCTAGCTCTAGGAAGATACACACTTTAGTATATGAATCACCCATATTACAAGCCCTTTGTGGAATCAAATTTATTACATTTCATTTGGCAGATAATGTATGATGTAGCCTGTATGTAAAATAGTTTGTTTTCCACTTCTTGTTGAAAAGACTTTTTGACCACTTAAATTACCCATGAAAAGCAGGACAGGGTGTCATTAATTATTGTTGGAGTTACAGATTTCATTCTGATTACTGGTTTCCCCTTTTTCAAAAAAAATAAACTGAGGATGTCTAATTTTTTTGGTGGTGGGGAAAACTAGGGATTAAACCCAGGACCCTGTGCATGTTAAGCACATACACTACTATTGAGCCCAGCCCCTGAATACTTTTTAATATTTTTGGGCCATAAAATAGCTTTGTTTGTTTTGTTTTGTTTTTTGGTACCAGGGATAGAACTCGGGCCCTTGTGCTTGAGAGGCAGGCTGCAGAACCACTGAGCTAAATCCCCTAACAAGGTGGAGCCTAGGGTAGTCACCCGTTTTCCTTATCTGAGCAAGATTTATTTTTCAGAGGGGATGAAGGCCATTACATGAAGGGTTGTTTCTTTTACTTGCGTGTTTTTTCTCTTAAATTGGGTGACTCACAGCCTCAGTATTTAATCCTCAGCAAATTTACTTGGGAAACTATCATATTCCATATGTACGTATGTTCTGGAGATGCAGCCTGGATCATTACCCTCTTCACAGAGTTAGTACTGTCTAGCAGGAAAAGCGAGCCATTATGACAGAAGGAGATACAGGGTCGTAGTGGTGGTCTTAAAATTTCCTTGTTAATTAGTAGTACTTCGCAGTAGCTTGATATAATTCTATTATTTGGATCTTAAAGCCTTTAATAACTTTAGCCTCTTGGGCCTCCAGATTTTATGCTTCTTCGATTTTACTAACTTCTAATTCTGTTATAAAATTATAGAATCCCGATCTGGAGATACTGAGACATCCTTCTACCCAGTTAGCATTTTCACAAATCCTCTATGTTTTTTGAATAATGAATAATGTGAAACATGGACAGTTTACCCTTTTTTGAGAAAGGCGTTTCACTGTTCATTCAGTGTTTAAGCATTTTGGTAACATATTTAATTTAGAGCTTCAGTGAGCTAGAATATGAGGCCTCAGCCTGTCCTGATACTGTAATGTCAGGGAATTTTTCCACTTTTTCAAATAAGTAAACTTTTCTATTGAACAATAACATATATAGAGAAAAGTATACAAATCCTTAATCCACATGGACATAAAGTAAACATGCCCATAAAATAACTACCATACAAATCTAGAAACAATATTTCTGGCAGTGGTAGTGGTGCATACTTGTAATCCCAGTGCTGGGGTAGCTGAGGCAGGAGGATCGCCATGAGTTTGAGACCAGGCTGGGATACATAGTGAATTCAAGACCAGCCTGAACTACATAGCAAGTCCCTGTCTCGAAAGAAGGAAGGAAAGAAAGAAAGAAAGAGAGAAAAAGAAAAAAGAGAGAAAAAAAAGAAGAGGGAGTGCCAGGGATTTAGCTCAGTGGTTCTGGTGCCTGCCTTGCAAGTGCAAGGACCCAGAGTTCAATCCCTGGTACCAAAAAAAAAAAAAAAGAGGGTGAGAGAGAGGAAGGAAAGAAACGGAGAGAGAGAAGGGAGGGAGGCAGGCAGGCAGGCAGCCCCTCTTCTTCTCCATAAGGTAACTGCCATCCATACAAAGTTTTTCTTTTACTGGGAATTAAATTCAGGACCTTGACTTGCCAGGCAGGCGAGGCACCACTGAGCTACATCCCTGGCCCCATCCATATAAAGTTTTATGCTAGAATCAGGGGAGTACAAGTAGATACTAAGTTTTCTAAATGAATGATACTTAATTTGAAGTCCTTACAGGGCATTCAAGCCTATTTTCCTGTTTTCTAAGAGTGCGTACATTTACCCCCTACTTAGTTTGCCTAGTTAACTCATTTTCATGTTTCAGTTTAAGTATCACTTTTTCAGGGAAACCTCAGCCCAGATCATAATATATAATTTAAAAAAAAACCTTACAATACTGAGCACAGTATAGCTCTCATGATGAATCTGTGCTTGTTCTCATTCTCTCGTTCCTGCTCTTGCTTATCTTTTATTCCATGCTTATTTTTCTGGCTGGTTACTATGGGTGTACTAATTATCCTGGTATTTTCCCCCCTAAATTCATTGTGAGGACTTCGTCTCACTAGCTAGAATTACCACTCTCTTTCCAGGCTACCTCCCAATGTGTACTTCTCTTTGTTGGCATTAGTGCACATCTTTAGTACTTTGCAAGTTGAATTATGGAATCATCCCCTTGATTTTTATTGGGCAGTTAAGTTTTGGGGGTGATGGGAAATGTATAGCAAAAATCTTGGTCCTCCATTTGTGTATATATAATCAAGAGATAATAGAGAGAGTGGCGTTTCATTTCTCACACCTTTAAACTTGATTGCAGATTATATAATGAGACTGATATACTACTTACATTAGTTCAGTGGCTATACGAGACCCAAATTAATATGGCTTTCATCAGATAGAAGCTCTTTTTTTAAAAGAGGGTCTCACTGTATATTTTAGGCTGTCCTTGAACTCACTAGATAGCCCAGGCTGGCCTCAAACCTGCAGTGATCCTCCTTGTTCAGCCTCCTGAATTCTGAGATTACAGGTGTGTGCCATCATGCCCACTTACGAGAAGTTTAGGGAGGCATTTCAGGGTTGGTGTGGGAGCTCCCCAGTCATCCACGTCTTGGTCTCCTGTATGGCCATGCCAGTCTCAGTACATATCGTCTGTTTTGTCAAGTTTGCATCCTTGCCACTGGGAATAGGAAAAGAATGAAACAGGCCTTCCATTCCTCTTCTTCCACCTCTCTTCCTTCTGTGTTTGGTTAAACTCCCCTCCCTACCCCGCAACTTTTTATTTGGAAATATTTGAAAAAGTAACAGAGAAATTAGAGCAGGCTGGGGATATAGGTCAGTGGATGACCCTCAGCTAGCATGTGTGAAGCTTTGGGTTCAGTCCTCCGTGCTGTAAATGAAACACCGGGAAAGCAATAGTATAATAAATGCTTACCTACCTGCTGGATGGGGTGGCACACCCTGTAGTCCTAGCTCCACTGCAAGTTCGAGACCTCCTTGACAATTTAGCAGAACTGCCTCAAAATAGAAAGAGCTGGGAATGTAGTTTAGCGCTCCCTGAATGTAATTCCCAGCACCACAAAATGAAAACAAAATTCCAGTTTACCTGCAATCAGTTCTTCACATTGTACTTCTTTATCTCCCTCTTTTGCTTCCCTTCCCTCCTCTGTCCTTGTGCTCTTCATATCTTATCTCTACGTGTGTGAGATACATTTTGAGGGAAAACAGTCCGGTACTTCATAGATGATACATTCCTGCCCTGTGGTGTTACAGGTCCTGGGGCTTCAGCCCAGACTTGTTGAATCAGTCAGAATTCCCAGTGATTTTTATGAGGAGGCATGTTTAGGAGATAAGTTTGTGAAGCATATCTAAATATATTTTTCCTGTTTTTCTTGTGAATTTAGTATTCTCAAAATGTGACCTGAGAACTTCTGAGGCTCCTGAAGATAGTTTTGGGAAATCTAGTCTTTTCTTTCCCACCTATTTGAGGATGGCTTTCTTCATATACTTCATCCAAAACAATATACTGTAGTATTATACTAGAATGGACACAGATGCAGATAGGACAATCTCGCCGTTTCTGTTAAGCCACATATTGAAGAGATTTTTTTACAAGGATATAGGACAGTGCCATTTTCTCGCTAAAGATTGTTTGGAAATATATAATTATTTTACATCAAATAGAATATTTATGTTCGCAAGTACCAGATTGTCATTTCTTAGGATAAGTTAATAAATATTTTGATTTTTAAAAACCTCTTTCTACAAGTATTTTGATTATTTGAAGCAAAACATTGGTACATTTTAGATATGAGAACACTCATCGTGGGGGAATTACAAATATTTTGAAATGATTGCTTTTATTTTATTTATTTATGTATTTATGTATGTATGTATGTATTTATTTATTTATTGAGACAGGGTCTCACTATGCATTTGAGACTGACCTGGAACTCACTATGTAGCCCAGGCTGGTCTCGAACTCTTAGTGATCCTCCTGCCTCAGCCTCCTCAGTGCTGGGATTACAGGCATGTGCCACCACACCCAGCGATTGCTTTTATTTTTTAACTTAAAAATTTTATTTAAAAAAATTTTTGAGGCAGGGTCTCACTATCTATTTCGATGAATTTGAACTCACGATGTAGCCCAGGATGGCTTTGAACTCTTGGGGATAGCCTGCCTCAGCCTCCCGAGTGCTGAGTAAATGATTGCTTTTCATTTCTAGTATAGTGATAGATAAAATGCACATAAATAAAAGCTTTTTTTAATTACAAGTGTAAAGAGGTCTTGGGGGGTAAAACATCTAACTGGCTTGAGATCCTTTGATTAATTGTTGGAGGCATGTTAGTTGATATCCTTGTAGTTTAGGATGATCTACTTCTGTCTGGCCGTAAATGTTTGATTGCTTTCTGATAATTCTGTGTTACTACTTTTTTTTCATTACTGTATCATTCATATGTGGTGCTAACTAGAAGTTTTTTTTCAAGAGAACTGGAAAACACATAGATATTAGAAAAGTGGGATGTTCAACTTTGTTTCATCTTATTTTTAAGTCATTCTATTAACTGATATTATAAACTGTGTTTTGGGTTTTTTTTTTTTTTTTTTTTTTTTTTCGAAACAGTCTCACTCTGTAGTCTGGCCTTGAACTCACCAAGTAGCCCAGGCTGGCTTCAAAGTGGCACTCCACCTGTCTCAACCTCTCAGAGTGCTAGGGTTATAGGTGTGCACCATTTAAGTCTTTTTAAATGAAGAAATTGAAATTTAGAGGTAACTTGCCCCCAATCACACTTTTTTCTCTTTTTTAAAGTAAATTTTATTGGATCCCATGCTCTCCCTTAAGCTCTCCTCCCTATGTATAGCTTTGTTTGCAGTTTTTCTTTCTGTTTTCACTTTTTTCCTGTCCCTCTCCCCTCCCTTGTTCCCCTTCCTGTTTGAACACTTTCTTCCCATTTCCCAATATTTATTATACATTTCAGTCTTTATTTGTATTTTTGGTTTCTCACACCAGATAATAAATGTGGTATTTAAACATGTGTGTCTGATTTATTTCACTTAACAGTATGGTCTCAAGGTTAATCCTTTTAGCTACAAATGTCTGCATTTATCCTTTTTTATGACAGAGTAGTACTCCATTGTGTTAAAAAAAAAACCCACATCTTCTTTATTCACTCATCAGTTGATGGGTGTTTCGGATGTTTCCAGGATTTAGCTGTTACAAACTGTGCTGCTATAAACATGAAAGTGTATATGTTGCTGTGGTATGATGCTTTTAATTCTTGTGTGTGTGTGTGTGTGTGTGTGGTACTAGGGATTGAACTCAGGACCTTATGCTTGTGAGGCTGGCACAGAGCAACTGAGCTAATCCCCGGCCTGATGCTTTTAATATTTGGGGAAGATACCAAGAAGAGGTATAGCTAGGTCAAACATAACCTCTAGTTACATTGATTTCCACAATGGTTGCACCAGTCTATAGTCTATAGTTCCACCAGCCCCTCCCTCATTTGTTATTGGTTGATTTCTTGATGGCAGCCATTTTCTGGGGTGAGATGGAATCTCAGCATTGTTTTAATTTACACCAAATCACACACTTAAGAAGCTAAGATTTGAACCCAATTCTTTTGACTCCAAACATGATTTTTTTTCCTCCACTGTACTGTGCAATCTGGACAAAAAATTATTTTTTACTTTTGTTTACTATTTAGAGAAAACCAAAGCAAATCCGATGTGTGAAATATAAGTGGCAACTTGAACTTGTAATTTTTTGACAGTGATGGCTAGCTCTTATTCCCCAGTCTTTCATTGAGCATCTGTAACCTGAAAATACAAAATCCAGAATGCTCCAGAATCTGAAACTTAAAAAAAAGTCCAAAACTTTACTAATTTATTTTTCATAAACTAGAGTATTTCTTTTTAATTTTAAAGGTTTAAGGTTTCAGAGTGTTTTGAGTTTTGATTTTGGGTTTAGGGTGCTTAACCAGTAAAATCTGTGCAAATATTCTAAAATTTGAAAAAGCCCCCAGTCTGAAATACTTCTGTTCCTAAGCATTTCAGATAAGGAGTACTGAGACCTATGATAGTACTAAAGCTATCTTATGAGTTGTGCATAAAATTCTTTTGGCATTTTTATCAGCCCCTTAGATGACAGAATTCTTAAATACTCCATGAGATGCACAGTAGACATTTTCTTCAGAGAAATGATTGTCTGGACCCAGACCAGTGTGACCCATGTCAGTGACATGCTGGATTTCCTGATTGTATCCTGATTGCACTTCATAATCACAGGGAGATGCTGAAATGTTAATTCCCACTTCTCAGTGTATTTGTGAGGAGTGATTGATGGATGCAGCACAGTGCCTTGTCACAAGGGAAGCAATGAGTATAAACTTTTATAATTATTAAGTTTCAGAAAATAGTGATAATTACCCTTTTGGTCTAGTTTATTTGAAATGTGTATTATTTAATAAATTAGTGCAGAGACCTTTTTTTTCTGGTACTGGAATCAAACTCAGGACCTTGTGCTTGCGAGGCAGGTGTGGTGCCCCTGAGTTTCATTCCTGGCCCACAGACCTTGATAAGTAATACAGGATCAGTTTTGAAGGTGGCATCATTAAATATTTTGGGTACTATTATAATAGGAACGTTGAGAATGTTTGGATAGGTCATAATAATATGGTTAGCACCTGTTATGTACGAGTCTGTTTTCTGTTGGTATAATGAAATGCCTGATACTATGGTAATGTATTAAGAGAAGAGATTTATAAACTCAGTTTTGGAGGTCCAAGAGCCTGGCACTAACAGCTGCTCCATTCTGGTGCATCATGGTAGGAGCTCATGTGAGAGGAGAGATCACAGTGTGAGACAGGAAGCAAGAGACCATGGAGGGGCCAAGCTGTTCTTTTTATTTTTTACTTTATTTTTTTACAGTGGTGGGGATCAAACCCAGGGCCTTGTGCATGCTATGCAAGGGTTCCATCACTGAGGTGCGTCTTCAATCCCTTCTCCTAGGGGCTAATCTGTTTCTGGAGACCATCATTAATCTTTTCTCAGGGTTCTCTCAAGACTTGATTATTTTCCATGAGGCCCCACATTTTGAGGATTCCATCACCTGACTAGCACCAACCACACCGAGGACCAGCTTTCCTGCACATGTAGTGTGTCACTGGATACACGCAAACTATCCAAACCATAGCAGATTCTACTAGGTTCTCCCCCCACCCCATGGTACCCGTGGCCTCATGCATGCTGGGCAAGTACCCTGCCACTGAGATACAACCTCAGTCCTTTTTATTTTGAGCTGTCTTGCTAAAGCTGCCCAGGTTGGCCTTGAGTTGTCATCTTCCTGCTTCAGTTTCCTGAGTAAATGGGATTAGAGGTATGTGCTATCCTGCTCCACTCTTTTTTATTTTTATTTGATTTTTTAAAAATAATAGACTATGTGTCTTGCTACAATTGCTCAGCCTGGCTCAAATGGTTGGGTTCAAGCCATCCCCCACCTTTGCCTCCTGAGTAGCTGGGACCACAGGTACATACCACTGTTCCTTGCTGTCTGTTAGTATCTAAACTTAAAAAATAAAAGCATGAGAATCCCTGTTCTCTAGGAATTCAACTAAAGAGTTAAATAAGAGCAGGCAGTGCCTGGTATACAGGGGATGTGTGTGTGTGTGTGTGTGTGTGTGTGTGTGTGTGTGTGTGTATTGTAGGTCTGACTCTCACCCTCTTAGTATCATATCCCTGGTATCTTTTTTTGAAAATCACTGGTCCGTGATCATTGGTGCCACAGGGAAGAAGCAAGATCCCTTCTGTATAGGGCCAGCCAATTAGTCAGAAGTATTGAGTACCTACTTTTTGTCATGTTGATAAATGTATTGCTTGTCTGCTAAGGCCTAGGTATTGACTAGTGTTTGTTCTGCCAATCGCTGCTTCAACGTTGCTTCCTTTACAGGGAACAAAGGGCAGGAATTTGCTCTCAGAAGGTGCTGTATTTACTTCAGGTACAAATAACTAAGAAGGCATAATGACTATTTAAAGAAATTGGAGAGAATTAGGATAAGCTTTATGGTAGAAAGTGGTCCTTGAGCTTTCTAAAACTATTAGTTTTTTTCTTAATAAGAGATGATGTGTATTACTTCTCGGAATCAATTGGAAATTATTTTTCTTTTTTTTTCTTTCTTTTTTTTTGTTCTTGTGATTGAACCCAGGGCCTTCATACTGAGCTATAGCCTCAACCTTTTATTTATTTACAGTTTTTATTTATTTATACTGGGTCTTGCCAGTTGCCCAATAGCCCAGCCTGAGTTCAAACTTTTGATCCTCTTGCCTCAGCCTCCCAGAGCTAGGTTTACAGGTGTGAGCCACACACCAGGAAGAAAATTATTTTTTGAAGTAGACATTACCTGAAAGATAGATTAGATTTTCTTTAGATTGTAGATTTTTAAAAATTAAGCTTTGAGTTACTAGCTATTCAGTTGGTAAGTTTTTTTAATATAATTTGTGATGTTATCAATCTTAGAGATAATTTTGACTCAAAAAAAATTTTTTTTTTGATACCGGGAATCAAACTTGGGTCCTTGTGCTTGCGAGGCAGGCAGTAGAACAACTGAGCTAAATCCCCAACCCTCAAAAAAAATTTTAACCTAATATAAATCCTGCTCACCTGTCCTACCTTTTGGTTTCACTGCTGAAGTTTATGAAGTGTGTGTGTGTGTATGCATGCTTTTTGAAATGAGATCTTGCTCTTCCCAGAGCAGGCCTTGAACTCCTAGATTGAAACAGTCTTCCCCTCTCAACCTCCCAAATATCTAGGACTGCAGGTACATGCCACTATACTTGGCTGTGTAGTGTTTCTTAAAGCCGTTTGACTATAGCCAACTAGAATGTTGTAGCCTACTAATGTTCATGTCTAACAAAATTTAACTCTTTTCTTCCAGGTAATTTACCCTCAACATTCCAAACTTACTGATAAAGAAGTAAGTAAAAATACTGTTCTGTATACACTATTGTTATATTCTTATTTGTTTTTATTGGTGTGTGTATATATGTCAGCATATATAGCTTTTGTTTTCTTTTTCAGAAAACCAATATTTGCTATTTGTCTTTTCCAGATTCAAATTCAGGTAACTATTTTTCATGTGGTGTTTATGTTGAATTTTATTCTAAGAACACTGGTTATACTCTTAATATGTGAAAATTAATTGAAGTAACAGAATGCAAACTCAATTTGAGCTCAACAAATTAGTGATTTTAATTCCTAGTTTAATGAAGTCTAGTCATGTCACTGTTAATTTTAGACGGTTTAGCTCTTGAAAATGACTTACGGTGTGATGAAGTAAAACATCAAGGCGCAGTTAACTGTTGAAATAGTGAAGATTGCAAATTACAACTGTGAGGTGTTTGGGAACTTATAATATGTAGTTTACTTTTAGGTCAGAATTTAGGAGCTTTCCAGGAATTCTGTAAAAAGCAGTGAGTTAAAAAAAAAGAGAAGAGGATGAATCCAGTTATAAAAGATGGCCATCAATTATTTGGAGTAGTTTGTATGGGTTATGGGTTAATATTTTATGTAAAGTTGTTGGGATGGTGCTTGGTGCATAAAAACACCATGTAGGTATTTACTTCTTCTTGAGCTCCGTTTTTCTGGTCTCTTTCAAACTCTTTGTGTGGTCCTAATTGTTAATATCTTTCAGGTTATGTTTTATGTTTTACTTTGTGTAAGCTTTTTAGCTTACAATGACCAGGGCATTCAGCCTCTAAGACCACACACAGAACCCTATAAAGTGGAGTCATTCCAGTTCCTTTTCCTTTTGTTATTACTTCTCAAACACTGTGAATTTAGCTCAGTTAATCTGATTTGGGACACTGACTTTAAAAACATTTTTTTTAGCCATCTTTCACCTTTCTGTATAAATGCTTCCAGAGTTTTCCCTATACGCGATTGGAAATCAGCCTTGGTGAAATATGTAAAAGAAAATTGTCTTCATAAATTAGGTATTTGTTTTTGATAGAGTCCAGTAGGTCTTTTACTCTGACTTGTAATTATTAGACTCTTTAGTGTATTTTGTCTGTTTTTTCTTTTTTTGAGACAGGGTCTCATTATATGGTTCGGGATGGACCCCAAATCACTGTGTATTCTGGGCTAGCCTGGACCCCATGGCGATTCTCCTGCCTAAGCCTCCTGAGTGCTAGGATTATAGGCGTTTGCAATCATACCCAGCTGTTGTTTTTTCTTTTTTGCTCAGAACTGGGGATTGAACATAGGGCCTATGCACTGAGTCCTTTTTTATATTTTCAATTTTGAAATATTGTAGAGTGTTGCTAAATTTCTAAATTTCCCAGTCTGGGCTCAGATTTTCAGTCCTTCTGCCTCAGCATTACAGGTGTGCTGTAGCACCCACCACATCTGGCTTTTTTGTATGTTAGTGAAATAATGACAGAGAGGTCTTCTAGGATATGTCCTCATTTCAGTTAACATTCTTTTTATGAAATCTGCACGTACAATTTTGGATTGATTTTTTTTCTAGGACTCAAGGTAATCTGAGTTGTGTGGATTGCAAGATGAATTTACTTTCTGTGATTAGTAGCCCAGTGGATTGCATTGCACACTTTTCTCTTTACACATCTACATGAGCATGAAGATCAGAAAATGCTCTCCTCCTCCCATATATACTGTTTTGCCATAAAGATTATTTCGAGCTGCTGGTGATGGAGAAACGGCAATGCAAAGCACTCTTTCCCCTTCCCCTGTATGCCTGAAGGCAAGGCATGATTCCTGTTTATGAAGGTGTCTCCCAGCCTAATCCCTTTCCTATACCAGGAAGAGGAGAAGTGTTCAGAGTCACTGCAGAAGATTCTTTTTTTTTTTAATCATTGAGTTTATTGGTACATTTTAGGTATACAGTACAGTTACATTCATCATTGGGATCTTGTACCTTTACATGACAGGTCTTGGAGAAGATTCTTATTGGAGGTGGCCATGACTTATGGCTGTATAAACAAACCTTGCTAAAATAATCCTAACCAATTCTGTTAGTTTTCTGCATAATTTACCTTGACATAATTTTTTGCCCCATGAAGCCCAAACTGTTTTCCCCCTGTATAGTCATTTCTCTGTAATTTAAACCTTTGTTGAGGGTAACCCATCTGGGACTCCTATCTTTCAGGAGCTATCCCTATTCCCCATTATCATTCCCTATTCCTAGTCCCCAATACGTTTTCCTACTTTAAAAATAAAACCATTATTAAAATGGTATACAAGCTCACAGGTCTAATTTTCTTTTGAGATTTTTACTTTGTATGTGTGATGCTTTCATATGCTTGTGAAATAAATATTTTTGTTGTTCATCGTTTTTGGTTGGTTTAATGCACAAATCCTGAGAGAGTAGAGGAAAAGTGTCCATCCGTGCATCAATGCTAAGAAGTGAATTCTGTGAAGTTTGGATAGCCTTTTAAAATACCTAGTTTTATCTGGGCGTGGTGGTGCATGCCTGTCACCCTAGCACTGGAGGCTGATGTGCAAGGATCTGCCTAAGTTCTAGGGCGGCCTGGGCTATGTAGTAATTTCAAGGCCAGCCTGAACTACATAGCAAGACCCTATCTCAAAAATAAATAGATAAATAAACAAATAGATAATTTTGTTTTAAATTAGTTTTTTCATGTATCATTTTCTTTTCGGAAATTAAACTCAAGTGCAAATCTATGTAAATGAAACTTCCAATATTTTAGATATACAAATGACATATAGATTTTTAAATGCATTTTTAATAAATGCATATCAAATGAAGTGTGGTTCATTTCACGCAAAGTATGCTTGGTGCTTATGAGTAAAATTGACAACAGATTTTGAAAGTAGGCACCTTGCCATCTTAACAGATGAGCATTAATATTAATCTAGGCAGTAAGCGACTGTGTTTTATATGTTTTTGAGATCACCCATCCCAGTTGTGATTATCCACTTTGTTTCTCTAATGTGTCTTTTAAGTGGAAGTTGAAAACTGTGCCAACTTTGAAATGGATTTAGTTTTTCCCCAAATAGCTTTTCGTGCTATGAAAGGAAATCTAGATAGTAGAATAGACTTCAGGAAGGAGTCATAAATGAACATTTTTTTCCCATTGTATACCTCAGAAGTAAAACAACATTGTAAACCATATGGAGCTATATAGATAAAATGCTTATTTATTTATTTTTGAAACAGGGTCTCACTTTGTAGCCCAGGCTAGCCTTGAACTCAACTATGCAGCACAGGCTGGTCTCGAACTCACAGTGATCCTCCTGCCCCAGCCTCCCAAAGTGCTGGGATTACAGATTTGTGCCACTACACCCAGCTATATCCTGCCTTACAAAGCAAGACCCTGTCTCAAAAAAATAGAGTAAATAAATAAAACAGTTAATTTTTTTCCTCAAACCTTTAATATTTTTGGTATAAGATGTACCTTTTAGCTTTGCAGTCTCAGTTGAGTTGCAGCGGTGAAGGACACTTACAAAATACTCTATGCCCATGGTAATTTTAAAACGGGAGGGGATCCCTCTCTGCCATAACATATGACACTGGTATAGAAGGACAGATGGCTGGAATGACTAATTTCTTGAATGAACAGATGGCACAGGGAGTAGTGGGTTCAAGAATCCTTTATCTGAGGGGTCTGGTTCAGAAGTGTTTGTTTTGGACATGAAAAAGAGAGGTTGCAGTTTCTGCTCCATTTGTGAGTAAAAAATTGACATTAAATAGATAACTTTGAGATATAACTCATATAACATAATTTTCATGTAAAGAATATAATTCAGTGGAGTTTTCCTTTTTTTGTTGTTGGGTTTTCTTTTATTTTGTTTTGTGTCAGGGTCTCAACATGTAATCCAGTCTGGCCCTGAACTCAGTAGAACAGGCCAAGCTGTCTTGATCTTCTTGCATTAGCCACCTAAGCACTGGGATTACAGCTGTGCACCCCCACACCCGATTTATGGCTGTTGTGCCTGGTGCTGGGGACCAGACTAGGCAAGCACTGTACCACTAAGCTACACCCTCAGCCCCATACAGTTCAGTGATTTGTAGTATATTCACAGAATTGTACATCTATTACCACAGTCAGTTTTAGAACATTTTTATCACTCCAAAAAGAAACTGTGCTCCATTTTCTTCCCACTCCCTCCACCATCCTTCTCTCCCCAGTCCCAGGCAGTTCTTTATCTGCTTTTTGGTCTCTGAATTTATCCACTTCAGAGATTTCATATAAATGAGAGAAGTGTTATTTTTGAAGTCCATTTTGTTTTGGTGTAGTGGTAAAGAGTGTCTACATTCAAATCAGACTTGTTGGGTTTGAATTCTTACGCTTTTCGTTTTGCAGATTTGTTTCTTTGGATGATTTTATGTAGCTTTTTCTGTACTTTAGTTTCCTCCTTATAAACGGATTAAATGAGACCTGAGCTGGATATGGTGGCACACGCCTGTAATCCCAGCCCTTGGGAGGCTGAGGCAAGAAGATCGCTGTGAATTCAAGACCAGCCAGGGCTAAATAGTGAGTTCCAGGGCAGTCTGAACTACACAGTGAGACCCTGTCTCCAAAAAAAAAAAAAAAAAAAAGAAAAAGAAAAACAGACGTGTCTGAGAAGCATGAAGACCAAATAAGTTGATATAGCTAACTGTGGCACCAGAGTAGACTCTTAGTAACTATAATTGCTTATTAAATTATTGGAAGGGAAAAATCATTCTGAAATAGCAACAAAGTAATTTTTAATACTTTTGACTTAGGAATCTATAGGAGTCTTATGGTAGAAATATATGTAGTTACTGGGGAAACACTTCATAGTCCAACATGGTGGCATACACCTGTAATCCCAGCACGCTCAAGAAAAGAAGGTAAAGATTACAGAAAGTTTCTAGGTTTTAAGCATGTAGGAATTTTAGTTCTGTTTTTCCAAGCTAGTAGAAACTGTGTTAGATTAATGAAAATAGATCATTTACTAAAGCTGTGGGGACTTATTGGGCTTATTCACTGTTCCCTTAGCAACTACTACTTTTTTTAAGAGCAAGTATTTATATTGCTCCCAAACATGAATTTGAGCTAATTTGTCTTGTCTTTGGAGAGTTGTCATTTAAAATGTATGTAAATTAACACTAATATC